AAACTGAATTTCTCTCAAAGCATAAACATTTGTTACAGATTGCTGTAATGTATATAATGAAAAAATAAGTTTTTACTTAATTTAACATCTTTTAATAAGGATACAACTATATTTTTACATTTTTTAGGATTATGAAATTTAGAATTTAAAAAACTTAGTTTTTAAAAAAAATCACTTTAATTAAAGGTCACAGTGACCTTGAAATAGGCCGCGACACACCTTCTACTCTAGATGTATACTTTTGCCAAGTTTGAAAGCTCTAGGTCTAATAGTTTTCTAGTTATGAGCCGGACAGGATTTTTCCATATTTGGCTATAGCATCTTTATTAAAGGTCAGAGCGACCTACTTTTTGTGCGCGACACACCGTCTACCCAAGAAGTATCAGTTGACAAAGTTTGATAATCCTAGGCCTAATAGTATTCAAGTTATGAGCCGGACAGGAATGGACAGACGGACAGACGGACGGACGGACGGACATGAAGCCTATAACATAATACGACCCGTCTTAAGACGGGCGTATAAATACCGCCCCCAAATATTGGTCAAAGAATCCCCTGATTTTAGTCAAAGCGCCCCCTATATATTTTTACAGAGAAAAAAACGTTTCGGTCAAAGCAATGGTCTAAACGTCCCCTGATTTTGGTCAAAGCACTCCCCTATAAAAATTTTAACTGCCAAACAATGATAATATTACAAATATAAAACAGTTTTATTCCGTAATATGTTTGTAAAAATATATTAGGGGGCGCCTTGACCAAAATCAGGGGACGCTTTGACCAAAATAGGGGACGTTTGACCATTGCTTGGGGCGGTTCCCAGACGATTTTTTCTAAGAAAAAAAATGTAAGGGGGCGCTTTGACCAAAATCAGGGGACGCTTTGACCAATATTTGGGGGCGGTTTTGTAACATCATTTTACTGTAAAATTTTGTAAGGGGCGCTTTGACCAAAATCGGGACGCTTTGACCAAAATCAGGGGAACATTTTGACCAAAACAGGGGACGCTTTGACCGGGACGGTTTTATCAGGGGGCGCTTGGACTGGATTTCGATACACATGATGTTATACTGTTCAGTGCTCCAAGTCGCACTTACTTTTAAATCGCTATATGGCGACCTGATATTTATTTTGGTCGCCATTTCAGAATTTCTGGTCGCCATAATCAAATATTTCACTCGCCATGAAGAGATATGAAAACACAATTAAAACAAGGAACTAACACCCATATATATATATATATATATATATATATATATATATATATATATATATATATATATATATATATATATATATATTATGTTTTTATTAAATCAAAGATCACTAATTATTGTGACTAGAATGTCTTTTGCTAGTTGAAGGAAATATTTTCATTAAATAAAACCACCCCTATGGCTGTACAGTACACAGAAGAACACAAGTAATCTGATCCTACAATTAAAATTAAATTAAGAGAAAATAAAACTTTGAAAGTTGTTGAGACAGGACTTTTTCAGTTTGTCATGTTTACTTACTACTACGTATCTTACCCATATTAATGCAGTCATTATCAATGCCGCCAAAACAATTAATTCTGATATGCAAGCCATTGATCAGATGCTTCAATAACAAGGTCAGGGCAGAGAAACTCTAGAAAGTTTACGACGTTTGGATGCCATGAGGGATGTTATGGATATACGTCTCTGGTTCTATCAAACTTCACTATTACAACATGCTATCATAACATTACGTGATCCAAGTCCATGCGACCTTTTGTAAAGTGTGTAAAAGTATATATCTTCAAACGTTGTCTTGATAGAGAATCTTGAAAAAGTAAATCTCGATGCATATAATAAAAAGTAGAGCTGGGTATCGCGGCTGAAAAATCGTATCGCGATATATTGCAATATTATATTTTGTATTGCAATATATCACAATATAAAATTTTTAATAAATTTTGCTTTTCATAAATGTTAAAAGAAAACAAAAACTCAAATTCCATGTATTCTCGAGTTGATACAGTGATTTAAGCAGTTCCGGATCGTAACGGGAAAAACACTCGGTAAATTATTTATGCAGGACCTGTGTTTGATTTCTACATTGAAATAAGTAGTCCTTTATTTACTCTTTCAAGCCACATTAATATTTTGTTTAAAACATTATACTTTATAATCGAAGTTTTCCAATTAAAATATGCTGGAGTTCAAGCAGTTTAGATGATTTCAAGTAGTTCCGGTTTTCGCCACCTATCGTTGTTATTTATAGTTGTAACAACAGAGGTCGTCTCAAAATTCATTTTTAACGATCAGATCTTAAGTTAATAGGGATAATAATATTTTCCCCCACTTTTTTAAAGACTTGAGCTCGAAAATGGAATATCAATTATATCATATATAAAGAAGAAAAGATCATGTTTCAACAACTTTATTAACGATAAAATAAACTATCAAATATTTAAAAAAAAATTAAAAAAACCCATAAAAATCAGAAAATTGCACTGGAAAAAACTAGAAAAAATCATCAAAATAAATAATATAATTAATCAAGGAATTGTTGTTCATTTCATACAAAAAACGAGGAATAGGACATAAATGCCCAACATATAATTCACCAGTTCACTTAATTGTATTTGAATGCACATGAAACTTTGCTTTATATAGTGTGTGAAGTTTGAAGAAAAGGTTAAACTTGAGTACATGTACTTTCAAAATAAATCATTTTTATACACAGTAGATGAGAAAGTTGAAGGCCATAGGGGAAGTCAGTTTTTAAAAAAATACACACAGTTGATAAATTCTTACCAAATTTAAAATTATGTATAAGTTACAAAAATATCTTGAATATAGTTTTTTTGGTTTGAAAGTTAGCAAGCTGCAAATTTAAAAAAAGTGAGGTCAAGGTAAAAACAAATCTTTAAGCAGTTGAATACCTCTCACTATATGTGTCAGCAAATGAAGTTTGATAAAAATATCTTGAAAAATTTCTTTGAAACTGGGCTTAACACAAAGTGTCACAGATTGACAGAAGGACAGATGACGGACATGACAAACACTATACATTTTGCGTGTAATATACATTATTAACCTCTGCAAAAAATTCTCCATTTTAATCCAGGATTGTCTAAAAAGAATTCGATAAAACTTTCGGCACACTGATGACCTAGCTATCAGAAGGCCTGCTACATACATTGTAATTAGCAGTAACCCTCTTTTGGTTTCATTGGTGGTTTCATAAAGTTCTTGCTTTCTTTTGATTTCGGACATTTTCTTCTTTTTTTTTCCCTTGACTACTTTAAGTTCTTTGGACTCAGTGATATATTAGATATAGCAAACATTGAAAAAAAAATTAATACACTCTACATTGTATAATATTTAATGAGATCTGTTCATTCTTTACAGTTTCTCGATTCAATTTTATTAATTTGTTTATATGTATTTTCTTCTAAGGATCTTTGAATTTGTAGTATCTTCTGTAAACAGCATGTGTGTGTTAGAGAGAGAGAGAGAGAGAGAGAGAGAGAGAGAGAGAGAGAGAGAGAGAGAGAGAGAGAGAGAGAGAAGCTATATGGGGGAGAGAGAAAGATACTTAAAGCCATGACTTTGAAATTAATAATACTTTCTCAGCCTTTTAAAATCAACATAATTTATGATAAAACTCTGAATGTAAAATAAATTCATGTTTCTGACTTTTTGTTTACGTATTTTCTCTTGTTTGTTTTACCAGCTCTTTTGAGACAACCCCGTTTATGGTTCATTCGGAACTGCTTAAAATGGGATGTTGTGAATATTGCTCTTTATTTTGGATTTACGCCGTATTTTAACGAAACCGAAATTTCATGAGATAGAAGATACATCAATGTTTCATTCACATATCTTAAATGAAATACACACCTTACCACAGTTTCAGAGCACGTCTTTACTTTCAAGAAAGCACGTGTTTAATGTCGGTCAACGTCACTTAAGCGCTTGCGGTTGTAAACAAAAAGCCTGGACACGGTAAGATAGACGGAGTTCTTGATCTCGCTATGTCATCCAGAGTATGGACAATACATAAAGCTTCATTTATGTAAAGAATCATAAGAAACAGAAACATTTATGTTTGCTTAATTTTAATTATTTAATTAAAATTATTCGGAACTGCTTAAAATCCGGAACTGCTTAAAGCACTGTATTACAACTGCCTGATCGCGTTGTGTGTACGCAAGTGACAAGCTAAGTTTTTGTGGCACAACTTTAAGAATCAAAATGTAATATTCAGATTCTGCTTTAACCCTTGTCCTGCAGGTCGTCGATAAAGCGGCGACCCGCTAAAATGGCTATCAGTGCCGGTCGTCGATATATTGCACTGCGCCATGCTTTCCGTTCAGTGCCGGTCGTCACTATTTCGACTTTAGACATGTGACGCTTTCCAGCTGAAATAACCAATAAAATAGTGGGAATCCCTTCAGCCCGAACCTAATTATTAAAAATAGAATAGTTTTACTTCAATTCTTTGTTTTCATTGGCCAGTTTTAGGGAAATACCTTTATTAAAATAGTACTTGTAAACCGAAACCGCGTCGTTTGTAAATGTTGTTGAATCAAAATGGAGGTCGTCGAAGATGTGCTAGATGGAAATGCGGTTTTACAGGACGTAGACCATGAGAACAGAGATATTATTAGAGAAATATTCATGGCCGATGATTCAGATGAGGAATTTTTAGGATTTAATCCAGAAGATCTCGACAATGACGAAGGTACGGCTGATTTCGAGGAGGACTTCATTCAAGGAAACTTGGGCGGAGACTATGGCGTTCGCAACTTACAGTTTCGTGGCGAGAAAAAAATAAACGTAGAGCTCGATGAGCACACAGAAATGGTGGATTTCTTTAAACTGTATGTTACAGATGAATTTGTTAATGAAATTCTCGTGGTAGAAACTAACAAATATGCTCAAGATTTCCTTAATTCTGCGCAAGGCCGAAATCTCAAACCTCAGTCTAGATTTCACAAATGGACAGACGTTACGAAGGACGACATGACGAGGTTTATAGCGATGGTAATTGCTATGGGACTAGTCCAGCACCACGACATACAGGACTACTGGAGCAAGGATGAGATGCTTGAGACCCCTTTCTTTGGTAAAACAATGACAAAAAACAAATTCCTATTAATATTGTCACTGTTTCATTTAAACAACAATGACAATCAGATACCACGAGGACAAGATGGATACGATCCGATATTCAAAGTCAGAAGAGTGTATGAACATTTCAGGACGAAGTTCAGTGAACTATATTCTCCTGGAGAAAACATCGCCATTGACGAAGGAATGATAGCATGGAGAGGACACCTATCATTCCGGGTCTACATGCCCGACAAACCGGATAAGTTTGGTGTGAAACTTTTCATGCTTTGCGACTCGAGCAATGGATATTGCTCACAGCTCGAGCTTTATCATGGAACATCAGAAAATCCATCAGAGAAGGGGAAGATCTATGACTTGGTGATGAGGCTGATTAATCCATACCTTGGTAAAGGTCACAAGTTATACGTTGACAACTACTACACGTCACCAATATTATTTCACGACTTGTACCAGAAAAAGACGGGGGCATGTGGAACGCTACGCACCAACAGAAGAGGCGTTCCCGCAGATCTGAAGACTGTAAAACTGAAAAAAGGAGAAAGTGTGGCAATGACCAATGGAACCCTTCAGCTCCTGAAGTGGAAGGACAAACGGGACGTCCACATGTGTACTTCAATACATGATGCTTCATTTGTTGATGTACCTGGACGAGTGGACCGCACGACAGGGGAACAAATTCGAAGACCAAAATGCATTGTAGCTTATGACAAACACATGGGAGCAGTTGATCGCTGTGACCAGATGATTACCTACCCGGCCTTCAAACGCAGGACGCTGAAGTGGTGGAAAAAAGTGTTTTTCCATCTGCTAATGATGGCCACCCTGAATGCCTACCTGTTGTACAAGGAACATTGTGCAAAATGGAGAAAAAAACCAGTTTTGCACAGGATTTTCCGAAGGGAAGTTGTGAAGGCCCTTATTGGTGAGACCAGCCCTCAACCAGTAACTGTAAGGGGGGCTGTAAATCCAAGAGACATGGAACGGCTGACTGGGCGTCACTTCCTTTCCAAGATCAAGCAGAAGGAAGGTAACAAGTCTAAGCCTCTGAGGACGTGTCCAGTGTGCTCTACCACAACGGGAAAAAGGAAATCTGTTGGAGACGGTCGCAAAACAGTACGGTCATCCTATGAATGTAGGATATGTGATGTAGGACTATGCGTAGATCCTTGTTTTGAATTATACCATACTAATAAGGACTTCAAACAAGCCTACCAAAGACGTCAGGACCAAAATGTGGAGTCTGATGATTCAGATTAAATATGAATGGATGTGATGAACAACAGTGATTAAAATTTAATTGTTTGAACAAAAGCAATTTCTTAAATGATGTAAATATTAAAGCTAACATCCAGGACAAAAGTAAATAAAATGAGTGTTGAGTGCTTTGGAGGACTATTTTTATTTGAGTGTTTTTGGACATTTCTATATTTTATATTGTGGTAAGATTTTGGAAATATCAGCATGTTTAATAGAAGAATGAATTTCTGTACAAAATATCAATTTTTTTCAGTCAGAATTAATTAATTAATGGCAATAATTACTGAAATAAAATTATTTTTGCAAATTTTGTGACTTTAAACCTATGTAACTTTTGATTGAAATAATAAATCAGATTTTTTTTTTCACAATATTTTTCTTTATTTCTTCCTGAATAAAAGTTGCACAGATTGTTATTAGCAAAATAGATAAGAAAACGGTGTAAATTACAATTATCCTCAGCCAGTGTAATTTGATAAAAGATTACAAATCAGCCTGGCACAGTCAGCGGCTGGAGCTCCTTATCAGCTCGGCAGCCACAGATGCTGTTATCTATAGAATGCCTGGCAGGACAAGGGTTAACATGAAGGGCTTTCATGTAACAGTTGTCGTCTTTTCGTTTCTGATAGACATGTCTCTGGTTTCCGATCAAACTTCACGTTGCTTGCCGCCATATTTTATCTTGAAAGGGGCAAATAACTCTTTTTGTAACAATTTATAGGATATCGAACCCGAACCGGTATTCACAAAATAATACCGCAATACGTATTGTGAAGAACAAAATCGGGATACACCGGTTAACCGGTAATATCGCACAGCACTAATAAAAAGATGGACATTGCCAGCCCAAATTTTCTCAGTTGCAAAAATGCAACTTAGTTTTAATTTCTAGTCGCAACTTGGAGCAACTTACTGCTGTTATACCTGTATTATGTCATTATACGGAACAAAAGACAATTTTCTGCTTTACATCGTATATTCAACAGTATCATGATACGCATTTGTACTGTGTCGTAGTATCACGATATGTATCATGACAATATCTGCAATACTCAAGCCTAGATTTGAACCCACAAGTAATGATCAACTCCTTACACTGTATCTCTAGAGCAAATGATCTAACCACTGTGCTATGCTAGTGACTCATTCTTTGTGCAATTGAACATTAAATGCATCCAGATTTATGGTTATTGAAAAAAGACTGATAAATTGAACCAAGTTACTATTCAAAATTTTCTATTGTTAATGGTAGTGCACAATTGTATACAATGTTCTCTTTTCCTACTTTTTTGACTCCTCCAAACAAAATAGTTTCTCAGACCCCCCCCCCCCCCCCAATTTATAAAATACATTGTAAATATGTAAACTTCCTGAAAAAAAAATAGCCACTCAACACAAGCTCAATATCAAATATGATTTGTCCATTCCTTGGCATTTTTCAATTTTCCTAAAAGGTCCATGTGTTTATGGGAATAATCAGAGCTCTTGAACTGCTTTCTGGCAACAGGGCCAGGACCATAAAGATTGGGAAAATAGTGACCTTTCACGAAATTTTTGAATAACTATGATATACTGGGTTTTTGGTCTTTGTTATCAACTAAATTTTCGTTTTGTAATTTATAATGGACTTGCTTTCATAACATTAGTCAGAAAATTGAAGTTAAATACAGCATCTAAAGAAGGTACAAAAGTTGATACAGTGCATTCATGCATTACTGAAGTGTTTGTTGTAACACTTCTGTTTTCAGTGAAATGGGCTTGCTGTAAAGAAGCTTCAAAATGCTTATACCTGGGGTACACAGTAGTATGTTCATTTGAACTTTGCAGATGAAAGCCTAACAATGAGGAAATTGTTGGTTGTATTGGGAAATTCTGATCTTCCTCCTTAAATAAAATCTTACCTGTGCTTTTCTGTGTTGGTACACTCTTGCCTTGGTAGATATTATTTATGTTTAGTGCCTTGTATTTGTTCGATCCCTTATCACCTTTTCCGCCTATCCCAGAAAATGTGGACATCTTGCCTGTGCACTCATTGAAGATTTTCTAATTACTTAGCCTATGAACGAACCGCTTAGTCTGGGAACAGAAATAAACAAAAAAATTTTAAGTTTGAGTCAAACACATGATATAGTACATACAGTCAAGTCAATTTATATATTTTTTTTTACCTTTTTAAAAGAAAACATCCATTTTAGAATTACAATTTTTTTTATACATTACTTGAAAATTCTTTGATAATAATGGCTATAACAAGATCTATGACATTTATAATGAAGTCGGACTGGAAATGACAGGTTCAACCTTGTTGGTAAACAAAGAACTTTTGCCTGTCATAATTTCTATGGATCTTTTAATAATTATTAATACTTGTAAATGATTATTCTAACCAACTGCAGGTATCTTATTGTGGACAAACAAACATGCATCATCAGCATGGATATTTCATAAAATATATAATATATTAACAAAAGATGTCAGATCGAAAAGCATCATGGTCGTCACAGCGTTTACATACATTACAGCTATTTAGAATGAACAACATTCCAATAACAGAAACGCCCTTTTAAACAAAAAAGAGAGCTTTTTTAATTCGTTTAGAATTGTATGTATTTTATGCAAGTATTATACTGTTCATAGCTAGTCAGGGTTAGTAACTATGACGCGAAAAGAACGCAGTTACCGATGCATAGCATCCATCAATGACAGGTCTGAACAATTTCGAAAATATATTGATAACGATGGAAAGGTAAACACTTACACGGGTCCGTTCCACTGGGCTATTATTGGAAACAATAAAAATTCCTTCAGATGTCCACTGAAGAAGGTGATGATAAAGATTTTTCTCGGATTTAACCGATGGTCGTGAATAATTTCACTTCCAAGATGGCGGTGTAATAATTATGAATATGCAAATAAGTTAGTGATGTCATCCTATCCCATAATCCTTTGAGTACGTACGTCTCTCAGCTGGGTGGATCATAATATTTGATTAGCCTTTTAATTAAAAATAAATCATAAAATTTACATGAAATACATAAAGGATAAACTGGAGAATCCTCATAATTTTAGGTTATGACTGAAAAGTTAAAAATTGGCAATGTTCTTTTTCTTGAGACCATTTAAAGAATGGTTGTAAACGGGACATCTGTTGTAAGAATAAAATAGCATGAACAAAAATTATTTTTATTTTTGTTGAAATTTATAATACTAGTAAAGATTTTTAAAAAGTAAATTACTAGTATTTAAACCTTTTTAACACATTAAATTTGCTTTTGATGTAAATTTACATATTTTATCATTAATAGAACTGTTTTGATTAAGATTTTAGTTCTTATATATCAAAGCCAAGAAGGACTACGGTTATTCTCTAAAAGTATTGCCCAATCTATTTATCAGATTATTACTTTACAGTCTTGAAGTATATAAAATTTTATTGCAAAAGTTGAAACAAAGGCTTTTCTAGGCATCGTTTAGAAATAAAGAGTGTTGAACACAAACAAAATACATTTTTTTTAACCGTGACCTTGACTTCAGAAACTTTTTATGCCCCAGAGAACTGTCATATAGAGAAATATATGTGTAATACACAGGAAAAATGGATAGATTTCTAACCCTGACCTTTGGACCTCAGAGTCGAGAGGTGTCCTCTTTACGCATTAGGAAATTGTGCTATAAATTTAGCCCCCCCCCTCCCTCACTTTTTTTGCAAAGATAGACATAATATAGGCATTGTAAATTTGGTCGTAAATTTAGCCCCCCCCCCATTTTCAACATATTCATCAAAGAAGGGCAAGTGGTAGTGTTTGGAAAAAAATTGGTACTGAAACAAGTTCGAACCTTCACCCCCTTTCACTTTGCTTCCGACACCAATGCGCCAAATCAAAATATCTACAATATCACATTAAGAAGAAGGTATGGTTTGGGCTTTATTGCGCCCTGAAAATTTAAAATTCTTAAAAGGTTATGAAATTGTATGTAATAAGAGTTGAGTAGATGAATATGATAAATCATTAAAGGATATGGCATGAAGGAGGACCATTCTGGAAATATGTCATTAATTTGGTACATTTCAAAGTTTAAGGGCA